GTTGACATTCTGCAGGGGATGAGGGTGGTCAGTGTGGGCTTGGAAGTCAGTTTACCTGAGTTTAATTCTTTTCTTTCCTGTGGTGCTAGTTTCCAATGCAGGGCCTCATAATACAAAACATGTTCTCTAGGCCTGAACCATACCCCACCCATTTTACCTGGGTTTGAGTCTCAGCTACATGATTCAGCGACTGCATGATTCACCAACTAAACTACTCAACTTACCTGAGCCTTGGTTTCCTCATCAGTAAAATAGATTTAACAGATCAATTCATAAATACCTGTCACAGGACCAAAGCAACGGTTTGGTAGGTAGGGTGCTTATCTTGCATATGGCTAACTTGATATCACATATACCACCCTGCTGGAGTGATCCCTGAGCTCAGAGCCCTGAGCACTGTCAGGTGTGGCTGCAAAAAAAAAAAAAAAAAAAAAAAAAAAAAACCAAAAACCAAACCAAAAAGAGTGCCTGGTTCCTGGTAGGTATTGTTTGCTGTGTGTTAGTTGTTGACTTAGGAGCATAATGATATTCTCCTTCTTACAAATACTTAAGTTGGGGCTGGAGTTGGAGTGATGGTACAGCAGGTAGGGTGCTTTCTCTGCATACAGCCAGTCGGTGTTTGATCCCTGGAACCATAACTGGGGTTACCCTGAGTCTCGCCAAGAATAAGTCCTGAGCAAGTATGGCCCAAAAAAAGAAAAAAGAAAAAACTTATGTGGAGGTTGAAAGGTAACTAATGGGTTAGAGTGCTTGCCTTGTTTGTGGCAGACCCTGATTTGATCCCTGGCACTGCACAGTCCCCCAGGTGGGAAGGGATTGTCAAATACTGCCAGTTTATCCCAAACTGTGCCTTCTGTCTTCCAAAATACTACTTCCTTTTTTTTTCTCTTTTTGCGTCACACCCAACGATATTCAGGGGTTACTCCTGGCTCTGCACTCAGGAATTACTCCTGGCGGTGCTCAGGGAACCATATATGATGTTGTGGATCAAACCCAGGTCAGTCACATGCAAGACAAACTCCCTACCTGCTGTACTATTGCTCCAGCCACAATACAGCATGGGGGTACTTGCCAAGAATTGCCTGCTGAACACTGCCTTGCATGACTCAAAAAGTTTCCTCCGCCCCCCAATAAAATCATTAAAAAATTAATTAAAGGGCCAGGGGCTGGAGCAATAGTACAGTAGGTAGGATGTTTGCCTTTTATGCGGCTGACCCAGGTTCGATTCCCAGCATCCCATATGGTCTCCTGAGCACTGCCAAAAGTAATTCCTGAGTGCACAAGCCAGGAGTAACCCCTGTGCATCACTGGGTGTGACTCAAAAAGAAAAAAAAAAACCCAAAAAATGCAAAAAAAATTAATGAAGGGGCCAGAGTGATAGTACAACTAGTAAGACATTTGCCTTGCACGCAAGTGACCCTGACACAGGTTCAATCCTCGGCATCCACATGGTCGCCCAAGCACTGCCAGGAGCAGTTCCTGAATGCAGAACCAGGAGTAATCCCCCACCAACATCACCGGATGTGACCCAAAAAGGAAAAAAAAATTAAGTGAAACTCCTCTGATCCCTGAGAAATCCTCCTACAGCCCTGAATTTGTCAAAGGGTTGGGGGCTGTGAGAGGAACTTGAGATGGTGGTGGAGGGTCTGTGACTGGTGAATGGGGGGGACTGTTGAATCATAGAGTGTTGCAAATCACAGAACCGAAATAAAAGAAAAAGCCTGATTTTTATTTTTTAAGCTAACACCACTGGATTTATTCTCTAAGGCTCTGTTTCCCAACAAATGGGTCTGGGATGGGTGTGCTTGGCCACACCCACTGGTGCTCTGGGTATTCCTAGCTCTGTTCAAGAGTGACCCCAGACTGTGATTAGGAGACCCTATGTGGTGCTGGGGAACCGGGATCAGCCATATGCCAGGCAAGTATCTTAACCCCTGTGTTGTCTCTCTGGCCCCATGTATGTCTTTGTTGTGACTTTTGTGGGCCACATCCAGCTGTGCTCAGGGGCTGTGTGGTTTGGAGCTCTGTACTAGTGGAGTACACACTTCCGTTCTGGCACTGGGCATCTCACATAGCAGAGTGGTTGAGATGGCAGTACTGGCCTTTGGGGTGCTTGCCTAACTTCCTTCCTTCCTTCCTTCCTTCCTTCCTTCCTTCCTTTTCTTTTTCCTTTCTCCCTCCCTCCCTCCCTTCCTCCCTCCCTCCCTCTCTTCCTCCATTCCTTCCCTCTCTCCCTCTGTCCCTCCCTGCCTTCCTGCCTTTCTTCCTTCCTTCCCTCCTTCCTTCCTCCTATCCTCCCTTTCTCTCTTCCTGTGATGCTGGGAAATCTGGTGGACTCATGTCCTTTTCTGTTGAGACACATCCCAGCTCTATTTTTCATTTCATTTTGTCTTTTCATCATGTTCACATACTTATCTTGCAGCCTTGGGAGAAATCATCCCGTACTTGTCTTTTTCCTTTGGATTTATTTTTCTTCACATAATTCCCATCGAGCTCCTTCCGTTTTGCTGTGAACGGGAAAACTTCATTTAAAAAAATGTGTGTGTGTGTGTGTGTGTGTGTGTGTGTGTGTAGCTGAATAGTATTCCCTGCTATCACATCACTTCTTTATCCACTGGGACTTCCCTATATCTTAGCTGTGATAAATAACAGGGCAGCAAACATGGGCGGCATAGAACTTTTGTATTTAGGTTTGATTCATATTCTTTAGCACTGTAGCACTGTCCTCCTGTTGTTCATCAATTTGCTCGAGTGGGCACCAGTAACATCTTCACTGTGAGACTTGTTACTGTTTTTGGCGTATCAAATACGCCACAGGGAGCTTGCCAGGCTCTGCCGTGAAGGCAGGATACTCTTGGTAGCTTGCCAGGCTCTGCCGTGAAGGCAGGATACTCTTGGTAGCTTGCCAGGCTCTCTGAGAGGGACGGAGGAATCAAACCCAGGTGGGCCGCATGCAAGGCAAACGCCCTACCCGCTGTGCTATCGCTCCAGCCCCATATTCTTTAATGAATAGAAATTCATGAATCCATAAGTGGAAGTGCTAGGTCATACAGTAGTTCTGTTTAATTTTTTCTCGCCTTGAGCTATCCCTCTGGTCCAGGGTTGTTTGTTCTGGGGTTTGGGACCACATCAGCAGTGCTGGGAAGCTCTGTGTCCAGTGTTGGCCATGCTGGCTAGACACCTGCCTGAGCTCCATCTCCGGCCCATTAGCTTCTTGAGGAAGCAACATGTTGTTTTCAAAATGGCAGTACCAGGGCTGGAGAGGCAGTAGAGTGATGAAGGCACTTCTCTTGTATGCAACTGACCCAGGCACCACCTATGATCCCCTGAACACCTCCAGGAGGGACCCCTGGTTCCAGAGCTAGCAGTAAGCCCTGAGCACTCTGCTGGGTCTGGCCCCAAGGCTAAACCAAACGACTGCAACAATGACATTCCCATCTACAGAATCCTGTTGGTGTGTCCTTTTCCCCAACAAAAGTGTTCAGGGGTAGTTTGGTATGGTTTTGATTTGCATTTCCCTGATAAAGAGCATATGTTCATATGTCTGTTGGCCATTTGTGTGACTTTTTTGTATAATTGTTTATTCAAACTTATTTTCCTAATTCCAGAATACTAATCTCTGTTCTTCCTCCTTTATTTTTTTGATTGTATATATAATATATACACACAAATACAATTTTTTTTTTTTGGTTTTTGGGCCATATCTGGTGGTGCCCGGGGTGACTCTTGGCTCTGTATTCGGGTATAACTCCTGGCTGGCTTGGGGGAACCTGTGGGATGGTTGTGAACAGTGTGGTCAATCTCTAGGCCCTAGTTGTGCCCTTGGATGTGCTTCTGGACATGCTTCTGGGTCAGGGTGAGGCCTTCTTCCACATATTTTGATATTATGTCTTGGGGGATAGTTGTGGTTACACAGTTGTGCTCAGGCTTACACCTCTGTGTTCAGGGATCACTCCAAGAGGGGTTCAGGGGAGGAGACCAAATCCAGGTCAGCTGCAAAGGATTTATTCCTGTGACAGATATTGCTTCATGTGCCCAATCCCCACTTTAATTTTAGATCTCAAATTTAAAAATTATTATTGTTGTTGTTATTATGATTAGGCTTTTGGGGCACACCCAGCTGTGCCGGGGGCACTGCACTTAGTAATTACTCTTGGCAGTGCTGGGGACCTTATGGGATGCTAGGGATGGAACCTGGGTTGCACACATGCAAGGCAGGGACCCTACCCGCGATGTGCTATCCAGTCCCATCCCCTTAAGTCTTGATTCTTTCTTCCCAGCAACAATTTCATAACGTTAACTCAGGCCCCGGGTCTTTTGGAGGCGGGGGTGGCGTATTCCATCTACCGACTTCAGTTCACTTGCACTCAAGACTCAATGTTGGGGCTGGAGTGATAGCACAGCTGGTAGGGAGTTTGCCTTGCACATAGATCTGACCTGAGTTCGATTCCCAGCATACCATATGGTCCCCTGAGCACCGCTAGGGGTAATTCCTGAGTGCAGAGCCAGGAGTAACCCCTGTGCATCGCCGTGTGTGACCCCAAAAAGCAAAAGAAAAAAAAAGACTCAATGTTAATTTACAGAACACTTCCCCTTTAAACAGTTTTCTTCACTCCACTCTGTCCCAGACACCCTCTCACTCCCGACACTGCTTGCAGTTCGTAAGGGCACTACAACCCCCGTGAATCTCAGCGCCCAAGCGGCTCAGCTACGGTACTTCAAGTCCCGAAGTGCTCTCTGGCCTGGCTCCGTGACGGCCGCTGTTGGTCTTGGGGCTTGCAGTCCTCTAGGACTCCTCAGGCGACCTCCGTCACCCAAAAAATTACTTCTCCCAGGAGCCTTTGCGTCAGAGGCGGGTTTTCCTCCTGTCTTTCTGCGCGCCCCTGCCGTCTTCCTGGGACTACAACTCCCGCCGTGCCTTGCGCCGACACTCTCGCGGCAGAGAATGGGGCTGTGGCCGACATCTTCGCTGGGAGTTGTAGTTCCTCTGTCGGGGAGGCGACGAGGAGGCGGAGTGACTCGGCGGCCATTAGCTGCGTGTAGTTGTGCTGGACTAGGAGCTTAAGTGAAGAGGAAAGCCTTACTTGGTGGAAATCACCCGTTTCCATGGGCTTCTGCCGGGGCTAACCCCAGAGCACGGAGAAGGCGGGCTTTTCGGTTTCCCGGCCTGCCGGGTGGCGGGGCCCACTAGGCCTCCGGGCATCCCCGGCCTCAAATAGGCCTGTCTGCCGGCAAGGGCGCCCCAAAGGCGGGAGGCGCCATGTCGCTGGTTGCTTACGCCAGCAGCGAGGAGAGTGAGCCGGATGAGGCTGAGCCCGAGCCGGAGGAGGAGGAGGAGGCGGCGGCCCCGACATCTGGGCACACTTTGGGGGGCCTGTTCGCGTCTCTTCCTGCACCCAAGGGCCCGGCTTTGCTACCCCCGCCTCCCCAGATGATGGCCCCCGCCTTCCCCCCGCCGCTGTTGCTGCCCCCTCCCTCCGGAGACCCCCGGCTCCAGCCTCCTCCCCCGTTGCCCTTCGGCCTGGGAGGTTTCCCCCCGCCTCCCGGCGTGAGCCCTGTGGAAGCGGCGGGGGTCGGGGAGGGCTTGGGGCGGGGGCTGCCTGCGCCCCGCGGCCCCGGCCTCAGCCTGCCCCCCCCTGTCGGCGGTGCCGGGCCCCCTCTGGGGCTCCCCAAGCCAAAGAAGAGGACCGAGCCCGTGAAGATCGCGGCGCCGGAACTGCATAAGGGGGATGTGAGTATCGGGGCGGGGGGCTCCCCAAACTGTCCATCGGGCCTGGGCGCAGCGCTCGGAGGGGCTTCCGGAGGTTCCTGGGCGCCCTCCTGGGGACGCCTCGTTTGCTTCCAGAGCTTTCGGATTTCCGACACGGGGCACCCGTGAACCGGACACCCGCGCGGCCACGTTGGGACTTGTGGGGCTCGTGCCCCAGCGGAGCCCCTAGATGCTGGAGTCGCCTGCAGCGACCTGGCGCCGACACCCAGCCCAGGGGCGCCTGCACCTGCGTCCCCTTGCAGGCGGCGTCCCCCCCCCCCCCCCCTCCACCCCCCACCCCAAGACGCGGGGCGGGGGGCTCGGGCCCGGGGCGGGGAGCAGGCGTGTGGGAGCCCCGTCGGCAGACGCTGGCTCCGCGGTGGGCCGACCGACCCCCAAGAAGCCCCGAGCTCGGTGTTCGGAGTCAGAGCCTGGCATCGTGGCAGACCCGCGGCGAGGGCTCTGGGGACGGCAGCTGTGAACTGTGAAGCCTGGGGCAGGAAGTGTGCTGGGGACCGCCGGGCTTGATTCTGGAAAGCTGGCCCATTGGTCACCCGCAAGAAGCAGCTCCCTGCCCTGCCCTGCCCTGCCCTGCCCTCCGTGTGAAATGCCCAGAGAGGGACTTGGACATGGCTCTGCACTTCTGCCCTCTGCGACTCCCTGCACCTCCCCTAATGTCTCGTCTCTCACCTAGATCAAGTTTTCATTCAGAGGACTTGTTCTCACGCAGAACTTCCTCGCCTGCTTTATTTTACCTTTCTTGTTTGCAGTGACGGGAATCAAACCCAGGGCCTTTCGAGCCTTCCTGTTGAAACGACAGCTTCCCTGGCCTCGTCGATAAGTGTAATGGGAAGGCGCTTACGTTGCACCTGGCTGACCCAGGCTCAACCCGGTACCACATAGTGACCACCCTCTCAGCTCTCCCTGCAGTGATCCCTGCGCACAGAGCCAGGAGTAAGCCCTAAGCACCACCATGTGGGACCCCCAAATCAAAAAAGTGCCGCTTCCTGTCAGCCTCCCCATCTACCTTCTTTGATTTCGTTTTTCCCCTTATGTAAGATAGGATGTAGTTCATCGCCTCTTGTCTGGTATCCAGTTCCATGAAGACTGGCTCGTTTGTTTTATTCATTGTGCTGGCCCTAGTTCTTTCTTTTCCTCTCTCTCATTCTTTTGGTTCACACCTGGCACTGCTTAGAACTTACTCCTGGCTCTGTGCTCAAAGATCACTCCTGTAGGGCTCAGGGAACCTTAGATGGTACTGTGGATGAAACCTTTAGCATTTCTGGCCCTTACCCTAGTTGTTATTTTTCTTCTCCTTTTTATTTTTGGACCACACCTGACTGTGCTCAGGGATCGCACCTGGCAGGATTGGGCCACCATATGGGGTTCCAGGGACTGAACCTGGGTCGGCTGCATGCAAGGCAAGTGCCTTCCTAGCTGTACTATCTTTCTGGCTCCTGATATTAATTTAAGACACTACGTAGAATAGTTAAAAGTATTATGTACTGAAGAGTTTTGCCTGGGTGTCTTCTGAGGGAAGGAACCTGAGTGCATGTGGATTCTTGGAGGAAAGTTCCCAAATTTTCCTCACAATACTAATTTCACTGTCCTCTTCCAAACTGTCCTCCATACCATCATCCCCCTTTCATCAGGTGAGAAATGATATCTCACATGAGTCTTATCATTTCTAAGTCTGGGATCAAAAAAACTTTTCTCTTGCTGCTCGGAGATATGTTTTGGCCTTGATATAACCTGTAAGAATGAAAGTTCTAAACAAGGAGCTGGAAAGAGAGTACAGTAGTTAAGGAGCTTGCCTTCCATGCAGCCAACTCGGCTTGACTATCTGGTACACATATGGTCCCCAAGTCCCACCAGGTGTGATCCCGGAGCACCACCAGGTTTGGCCCCAAAACAAAAAATTCGAAGTGAGATCGAGCTCATTTCCTCAGGATTCTCTTAGTCCCAAACTAGATCTGAGCCTAATTGTTTTGTCAGGGAAGATGGTGCTGAGTCAGCCTGCCTTCTTCCTCAGTGAAAGGTGCCTGTTTTGAAGGTCGCTTTAAAGTTGCTAGTAGAGGTGGTAGAATCTTCCATGCAGGCTGGCTGAAGTGGCCGAAAGCCCTGTGGATTTCTCCTCTGTCCCTCCTTTGTAAGTATCATTCACTGAAGTCCTGAGATGAACTACAAAGTGGATTATTAAAATAAAGCCTAATCTTAACTCTCAGCTGGTTCAGTTTCCCATTTTTGTTCTGGTTCAAGTTGGTAATTTTCTCTGAACACATAATACCCTGGGCGATGTAACGTAAGAAAAATGGTCAGTGGAAGTAGGTGCCCTTCATCATTAAAGTGATTGTGTTTCCTCCATTTCCCCTGGTTCTTGCGCTAAGTAGGCCTTTAGCTCCTACAACATTTTTGAGGACCGAATCATCAGTTAAATTCCTTAACTAATTTTCTTTTTTCTTTTTTTTCTTTTGGTGCCACACTTGGCGATGCTCAGGGATTACTCCTGGCTCTGGTGCTGCACTCAGGAATCACTCCTGGCAGTGCATGGGGGACCATATGGGAATGCTGGGGATCGAACCCGGGTGGGCCACATGCAAGGCAAGAACCCTACCCTCTGTACTATCGTTCTGGCCCTCCTTAACTGTCTGTGGAGTATTCGGTGCTGAGGCAGAAACTACTCACCCTGCACTCTTAGTCCTTTGTTCGTTTGGTATCGGCTGCTGCTCTGCCCTTTTCATAGACCCTGCCCTAAGGGACTTCTGGGTTGTTGGAGGAGACAGCCCACAGAATAGATTTCATTCTAGCCAGCGAGGAACCAGGAGCGAATTGGGGCCATGGAAGGAGCCTGTCAGCACGCATTCAACCAGCAGCTAGGGAGATGATGTCCAAACAGATCAGAACTGACAGGAGGCCAGAGCCACCAGGACGGAGTGCAGAGCAGAGAGCAGCAGAGTGCATTTTTTGGGGAGTTCATGGTGGGCAGAGGAAGATGTGAAGGACCTGGAAAAGAGACCAGATGTTTAGGGCCTTGGTGCCCTGCTGAGGCCTTTGGTCATAAATCTGGGGGCACAATGGAGGAAGGCTTCTCTGATCACAGGATGAAAGGCCTGGGGGGAGGGAGCAAGATTCAGATGAGAGATGATCGTAGTGTGGGTAAGGAAGCAGCAGAGGGCGGACACAGCTGGAGGAAGCAGGTGTGTTTTGCAGGGGGTTACCAGACTGTTCATTAACGGGGAAGATTCCAGAAGGCCTGGTGGGCTCAGGCAGCTGGGAGGTGGTGCCCTTTCTATAGGCCCCTAGATTGAGCAGGTGGAAGCTTGATTTGATTGGATGGGTCTCCACCATTAGGTCAGTGCTGGCTAGTGTTAATTTTGTTTTTAGGTCACATCCAGTGAGGCTTAGGTGGTTGCTGCAGGCTTTGTACTCAGGGATCACTCCTGGCAATGCTTGAGGAACTGTTTGGGATGTTGGGGATCAAGCCCAAGTTCGCCATAAGGAAGACAGCTGCCCTACCCACTGTACCATCTCCAGCCCTGTTCCAGCTAGTTTAAAGGGTGGTATGTCCTAAATAGACAGGAACATGCAAAAGTTCCTGAAATTAGGAACTGAAGGGCTGCTGGGAGCCTATGCTCCTGGCACTGGTCTGTGGATACAGACCAATGTCCACTGCTTACCCTTGGGTACAGGTGAGGGTGACCTGCAACTGTGATTGATTTATTTTATTTATTTATTTTTTGGTTTGTAGCTCATACCCAGTGGTGTTCGGGGCTTACTCCTGGCTCTGTGCTCAGGGATCTTTCCTGACAGGGCTTGGGGGGACCATATGGGATGCTGTGGACTAGGCCTAGGTTCTACCCCCTGCAAAGCAAACACCGTACCTCAGTACTATGGATGCAGCCCTAGTGATTTTTTTGTTATCATTTTAAGCAGTTTAAATTGAACTATCATCCTGTCATCCTAGTCCCAACTCTGGTTTTCTCTGAGAGACAGGATTGGTTTGATTTGGGTCAGCACCTCCCTGAGCTGCAGGCAGGGGGCGGGCAGTACCAGATTCTCTCCAGGGCTCCTCATGACATCAGCCTGCTTCTGTCTTTGCTGAGGAATTAGGAACATCCATAAAACACACGCCCTCCTCTGGGCCCTTACTTCCACCCATGCTGTTTCCAAATATTGATCATTTGTTGATTTCATGAAATTAGGGGATGCAGACTTCTAAAATGAGAACACAGTGGGCCAAAGCTAGAAGAAATGTGTTCGGTGGGGATTTTCTGTATAGAATATGAGTTCTAGAGTAAACAGAAGGTTGGGCTATCTGTGTGAGTGTTGCTTGGGCTTTCAGAGCATTTACATTAGAGTGGACATTTGAAGTTGTGAGGCCAGACTGTCTTAGAAATGAGTAGTTTCAGGACCAGAGATATAGCCCCGTGGTAGAGCATTTGCCTTGCATATGGAACCTCGTGGTTGGACACCCAGCACCACAAACCAACCAACCCAAACTGATTTGGGTCATTTCTGTTAAACTTTACAGTGGGCTGCAGTAGATTTAATTAAGATTTTTCGTGTGTGTGTGTGTGTGTGTGTGTGTGTGTTAATCCTGCCTGGGACATTGTACCAGGGTCAGTCACATGCAAAGCAAGCACCTTAACCTCTGTACTTCCTTAGTTAAGGTCTTTTTGGTTTGTTTTGGGGCCATACCTGACGGTGCTCCAGGCTTACTCTTGGCTTTGTGCTCTGGGGTCACTCCTGCGGGCTCGGTACCATGTGGAGTGCTGGAGATTGAACCAAAGCCAGCTGTGTGCAAGGCAAGCACCCTTAACCACTGCAATGTTTTTTTAGCATTCTTTTTACTAAGTTTTTTTGTTTGCTTTTGGGCTACACCTGGCTCTGCACTCAGGGATCATTCTTGGCGGGTTTTGGGGGACCATGTGCAGTGTTGGGGGTCAAACCTGGGTTGGCCATGTAGGAGAGAAACGTGTTAC